AACCATGATAGACCATGGAAAAGGACACCGACTCGTTGTGATAGTTCTGATATGCAACTCTTCAAATCTTGCACAAAAATATCCCCTTTTTTGGATTGATCGATGGATGGATGGAGTTGCTTCGAGGGAGGTGGCGCCCATCTGTTTTACCTCACCCATCATAAGCAGACCACGGTTGCTGGAGTAAATTGCAAAAAACCACCACAATTGTGCAAATGTCATCAAAGACCCACCAAAATGCATGTTAAACACCACAATTACTGGATTTACCCTGCCAAGTCGGCGTATATACAACAATTCATCACACGCCTACCACTGCCCCGCCTGCTAAACGTATGGTATGGAGGATCAGAATTCAGAAGTGAGTCAAGAATAAAAGTCTTGGTGTGGACCTTGCTCCAAAACAGACTCTGGACGGCTGATAGGTTGCTTACAAGAGGTTGGGAGAGCATCAGGATATGTGTTGTGCTTGCGCTCAGGTTCTCGAATCGGCTGACCACCTGATCTTGAAATGCCCCTTTGCAAGGAGGTCCGGCATCAAATGGCTACAAGTACCCAAGGGCTGCTGCTGTCGCACTCCATGCCACTTCGATTAACGATTGGTGGGACAAATCCTGCTTGCTTACACGGAAAGGAGAAGTGATCGATGAATGCATGGCTGCGACATATGTGGCGTGGAACATTTGGAATGAGAGAAATAGGCGTATCTTCAGGGGGTCTGTTTGCTGATTTGAGATGATTTAGGCCTCCTTATGGAGGCGAGGGAGCAGTTCTGTCAGACTTGTACAGCCGGGTTGCTGGGTGCAGCACAGGACATGAAATTCCTTTGTTTTCTCTTGCTGAAACTCTCGGTATGTACAGTTTTTCCCCTACTACAATGAAAAGGCAGAGCACCTGCCGTTCCGGTAAAAAACAAATTCAGCTCTGAATGCAATCCATCATTTTTGTTCACACAGGCGCCCAGCTGCAATTTTGTGGAGTGCAAAACACAAGTATCAGCTATTCTCATTTTGTACTCGTATATAGAACATCCAAGCATTGGCTATTTACTCGACGGTTCAGATATTAGCAAGTACAGTCAACATTCTTTGGCACATGGCTGCATCGTCAATCTAAAGATTCAAATTGCCGCGCAGTAGCTCTTCATCTCTTGTTTTCCTCCAATATTCCAGAGTTCTCAGCTGATAGATTTTGCACTTGCGATTGGCACTTGTGAATCGGAGCTTGACATCATGGACTTATCATTGTTCCTCTGTGATTGATATTGAACTTCTCCTTTCATGAAGTATTCACTATTTTTCTTGTGCTTTTGCAAGAGGAAACAAAACATAGGAATAGAATGATCACATGGTAAAAGATAGACGATAAAACACCTCTTGAATGACTTGATCAACACACCTATTGCATGCTTAGCTAGCAAAACTATGTGTAGCTAGTCCTATATTTATATCCACCTGCCTTAGGAATTACGTATTATGTGAAAGGTCCAATGCTGTATCGTTAATATGTTCTATTGTAGTACCCAGTGTATGTAACTCTGAATAAAATATTGGAGGAAAACAAAATATAGTGATATTTCCTTATACCCTCCTGCATTACCAAAACACCCAGATTTGTCAACTCCAACCCGGTAGCAGCTGCATTCCTGTCAGAAATGGAGCTCGCCACCAATCACACCGCAGCCGCAGTGTTGTCCCCTGTATTCAGCGGCGCTATCTCGCAGCCCCGCCACACCCCGTCCTTACTCCCGCTAAAGAGCCGCACAATCTGCGTGATAAATATTGCAGAGTCGTGGAAGAACCCAGCCACTGCTCCAAACCATGAGCACCTTCCTGGAAATTGTCTTTGCCGGATAGGCGCGGCAACTAGAGGAGCGTCTAGCAGACGCTACTGTGGGCCAGGACTTGTTGGAGGGAGGCGGGGAGATGATAACGTCCGCGAAAACTTGTGCGTCCTCCTTCAGATGTCTGCGGTCTTCACCTACCGTGGCCAAATGTCCGTTATCAACTGGGGTTTGATGCCCGCTGGATCCTTTCTGTGGTCTGTTGGTCCTCTTTTACAGAGTCTTATCCCCTAGACGGTCCTATGTTTGAGCAGTGGTTTGCAGTGTCGTCAGGTTTCGCCCCATAGCTGATGGTCCGTTTCAGGGTCATCATGCAGTGGATTTTCTGGCGATGCGCCAACTCGCTCCCCCCTTTCAGTCCCCTTTTGCTGGTAGTCGCTCTATATGGTTTGATGCCTAGTTAGTGAACTCTGTTGAACTAGTACTCCAAACAGACTGATGTATTTCCGTTGATTGCAAAATTAATGAAAAGGGGTGTGAGCCCGGTTGGAAAAAAAAATGCCCGTTATCAAGGTTGGAAGAATACTAGCCGATTTGCAAAGCAGAAGCGGGATGTAGGAGTATTCGAGCTTATGGATCAAGCTGCGAAATTACATTGGGGACAACATCAACCCAACCTGAACCCCAAAGAATGATCCGAGGATGATGCAGTTCATGTCCCGTGTTCGTATGTTTTGACGTGCTAGTTTTACTGCTTCTTTCTTGCAAGGAATCGCTCTCCTCCCCTGAATATCAAAGTGTAGGTCAGTAGTTTGGATCAGTCGGGCCTGTGTCTGTCTTTCTTTCAGAACTCCTTTTACCCTTTTACTTGCATTATGTATTCAGATGAAACAGAAAAAGGGTATCCCAACTCCCAATGACCTATTTCAGGAAAGATGAACTCGCGAGTGAAGTGGCGGAGATAGAGAAAAGATAACCCCCCCCCCCTCCTCCCCCTTTCCGCACGCGACGGCGGTGTGCATCCGCGACAACCGGTACTGCTACCACACTCTGTACAACACCCATGACATTTCCACCAGTAAGTGTTATTTATTCCTAGTAGTAACTAGTAATCTGCTCCTTTTTGTGCTGCAATGTATGTATGTATGTATGCAGTGTTTCTAATTACCAACTTACTTTTGTTATCGACGTACATCTATCCAGCTCCGTCATTTCTCGGAGATTGCACGGCAAAACCGATGCTGCAGTTCTTCTACCTGTGTTTGCCAGGCTCCAGGTTGCTCCTTGGTCCCGTTAGCGTGTACGGAATAATTGCCATTCGAGATGACCTGGAGCGGCGGCGGAATTATGTCTTGAACCGTAACAGAGATGGTGTTGTCAGAATTGAGGAGCAGCAGGAGGAGGTAACCGACAGAGACTTGCTTTTAATAGTTTACAAGGAAGGTGGTTTTATCATGTAGATGCATGTTTATATCGAGTTAATGTGTTCTGTTAGTGCATTCTAATGCATCGGAAACTGGATGTATACTAGCTTGCCTCTTTGTTGCAACAATGCACAAGATTGTTGTTTAAATTGCAGCAGGAACACTTTTACTTGCCTCTTTGTAGCCCTTGTCAAGGAATGTACGTGATTGATCTGGCATTTGTAGGGTGAAAAACGAAGGGGGGCGGATAATCCGACAAACAACTATTCTCAGCGTATGCCGAGACTGAGATCCATGCACACTTCGACGACGAGCTGGGTGGATGGATCTCCAACGATGTCTGCAAACTAGACATAGGATTCGTGGCCCTCGCGCGAAGCGTGGAGGCTGTAATACAAGTGTAGGCAAAGGTCGATGACCACCGTCCTCAGCATTTGCGGTTCCCCGGCTTGAGCACTGGCTACTGTGATGAGATCGTGTTGTTCGACGGGAAATTCTCCCGGGACGAGAAACTGTTTTGAGGTTGAATTTCTCCTTGTAAAGTCCTTGTGTGATGAAACAACACAAGGCTGAGGTATTCAAATACTGAATACATGAACATGCTGTGTGTGCTCGATATTCTATGCTTGATTGGCATTATATTTTTCAGTGCTAGCTAATGCTTTATCTTAATTTCCATGCATCTTTCCGGTGTTCTGTGTGCATAACGATCCAATATATTTTGTGATCTAGATATGTTAGTTAACTTTGATTCCATGCTCTTCTGGTGGTTTGTTTTACGGATTTGATTATATTCTTTTTGTGGTATATAACAACTAATTTATAACTCTAATTTTGGGCCAAAGTTAGGCTCGAAACTGAAGGAGAGAATCATAAACCTGGACGGAGGAAGTAGCATAAATAAAAGTAGCAAGCGTGGTCTCAAAATAGGTAAGTAACTGTAAGATGACAAAGCATAAATATGTTTCATAGAGTTAGAAAAGATAACACAAAGTCGCAAACCACACAAAAAAAAACATGCAGATAGGAAGTGGCCAAACCGCTGTGCTACTAGTCACCCCCATTTTGCTAGTGTCATCTGCCATGGCTCTCCTCCGATTACGACCTCAAGTTGTCGGGGGAAGGGGGCCTCCGGACTCTTTGCACGGCGTGTACAGCAGTAGTTTAGGCTAGTTTGCTTAGTCTTTCAGTCTCATATTCAAGAGATCCAAAACATTTCTAGCTTGCATCATGAGTGAAATTCACAGCATCAGGAGATCCAAAACCTTTTTCAGCTTACCATGGCTACTCTAATCAATCATAAAGAGTTACTACTAGCAGACTTCTCTTTACATATATACCGAAAATAGGTTGCTTTACCTCATGCACTGAAAAGATTAGCAAATCTGTTGCTGCATCATTCTTGCTGCCTACGGGTTGTACGTATTGGTGCCCCACCGACGGTCCAAGGAACCCACCTGCTGATGATGCAAAGTCGGTTCCCCTACGTGCGTAAAGTTTCCTAAAGACCTTGCACAACCACTTCCACCAAAATCTCGGGAGAAAGGGGACGAAAAGAACACAGGGAAAAAAAGAAAGAAAGAGCACCCAATCCACATAGGCAAAGAGCCCACCACCAAATAAGAGGCAAGCGGAGAAACCCTACAAGGGAATCTGCGCAGCAAGGCACACGTCTGCTTCTAGTTATCTATGAGTGGTGCTGAACATTGTGACACATTTGCATTACTTCACAACAAAACTATTCCTGGAAGATTGCAATCACCTGGCACTCAAAGGCAAGTGAATCTTCCCCTTCACTGCTGGCCAGGAAGGTCGTCGAGGATGAACGGGCCGAGCTTCCCCGATCGGAAAAGAGTCAATAACTTCTTGGAGGCCGGGCCATGTGATTCATCAAACGGTTTGTGGGGTATTCTGAACACCTTTCGAAGGGCAACAAGCTGTGAGTCAATTAGACTTTCCAGCTCGTTATCTTCATCGAGGTTGCCTGTGAATTCCATGGCTGTACTGCACAGCGTTCTCTGGACCTCTATCACCAAGTCCTGTAACAGGAGGATGAGGTTGTTAACTCCTATAGGAAATAGATGACTTGGGAGGAAACCATTGATTACCACAGTATCATGGGCACAGTAAGTTTTTTTTTAAGGTTAAATGTGCAATTTGCACCGTACGAATAGTATATGCATAATAACAATGAACAACGAGCAGCTTTTGATTGGACAGAAAAATGATAGTGGGAAGTTCTGTGTAAGTTTATTATCCTGTGCTATCTTGAAGACGAGTCACAAAATCAACTCTGACACACAAGCAGAAATGATGAAGCAAACAAGTGGGAACACAAAGGACTGAGCAAAAAAAGAGAAATACATGAAAATAATTGGCAAGTCAACAAAATGTACTATTTTACAGTTCAATTATATTTAATTAGAATAATTAACAAGATATGGCAGATAGACATAATCACATGGTGGGAGTTCAACTAGCACAAAGTGTGCTGCAGGACTCATCTACCTGGATATGGGCCCTTTTGGATCTCAACCACTATTAATGTCTTGTATGCCGAGGTGTACACAACACAGGAACTATAGTGACACACATCAGCGCAATGCACTACAGCATTGCATGATAACTGCTGTGGTAGGATAGATAGATAAATAGAATTGCACTAACTAATATGGTGGGTTTTACACGTGGATGCAGCACACTTGACCAAAACTATGTTATGAGCACACATTAATCAAATCAATAAAACCACATTATCAACTTCTGCCATGGCCCTAAATTAGATAAGGAAATACAAATTAGCATCTGTTGGCATTATTCCTTACAATTTTGCAGGACGAGCTAGAATAGTGCTGGAGTGAAAACAAGCCTGAAGCTATGTGAGGCACACAGAAAGTTGATAATTTAGCATCATACTAAAATAAAAACATGCAAACAAAAGATATCCCATGGTCTCATAAAAAAAAGATATACATGGCGACTAAATTCTTATCCACGAATAAATTCTCCATTATGGGTCTGCTTTGTTGGAGAACAAAGTCGAATGGAATGCCATGGTTCCATTCCATGGAGTGGGTTGGTTTCATTCCTGTGCTTGGTTGTGGGCATTATGTGCAATGGAATGGTTACATTTCAGTGTTTGGTTCGAGAGATGGAATAGAATAAATTTGGTTCAGCTCACCTCTTGTGTAGAAAAGGGTGAGATTACCTTTCAATGCACCAACCAGCATACAGAAGCAAAAATCACAAAAGACTAGCGTTTTGTTGGAAAAATCATATACTGATGCCTATGTTTTACATGTGTAAAATTTATTACTATATAAACCACACCATGGACAGTGTGGACTAGCCTTTTTCTTTTCCTTCAATGCTCAGAATTCTAACTCTGATAGAGCAGCTATAAGAATGCAGGAAAACAAGGGTCGATGCTATGGGACGTGATAAAGTGAGGGGAAAACAAAAGAAAACAAGGAGGAAACTTGCTAGCAGCTAGCTGATGTTGTAGCACTAGAGCAAATCACCCTACTAGCCGATGCTGCTGTCGCTTCTCTCTCTGCTAGCCGCTCCCACTCTCTGGTGCTGCTGCTGCGTGCTAGCTGCTTCTTTCCCAGGCTTCCCCTGCTGCTCCGCCGAGGCTCGTCGCTGCTCCGCTCATGCCTGGCCACTGACGCCACAAGCAGCTGCTGCCGAGGAGTGCCGCACAGGCATCACACCGCCACTGAGGAGCGCCGCCCATGAATCGATCCGCCTGCACGCTGCCCTGCGAGCCGACGCCGCTGATTTTGCTTCGCTGCTAGCCCTACGCCGCTAACCGCCTTCTCGCTGGGAGTGCCACTGTTTTCCCTTTGCTATGCCCACCGCCACTGTTCTTTCCATCTCCACCACCACGTTGTGCAAGAGAGAGATGATGAGATAGGTGGGTTAGGTGGGGGTGAGAGACGTGGATGGTGAGATGAGATTGTTTTTTCCGCTAAGAGCTGGAACCATGTAATTCCAAAGATTTGGAGGAATCAGTGGATTCCGGATCTTCTAGCTAGCAGTCTAGCACAGCCAAAAAATATGCTGAAATTCAATTTTGCCGCACATATTTTAAGCAAACCTTGGTGCAGATAGTTTAATCTGCAGTGAATCAAAGATTGTGGCTTCAAAATTATCAACTTCTGCCATGGTACTATACTAGTTTGCACGACAAAGTTATCATTATTTCGAACAATTTTGCAAGACACTAGGCCATGATACAGCAGTGTCAAATGACCGAAGCAATGAATTGTGGGTACATAAAATGTCAACAGTCTAGCATCAATGTATAGTAACATAGACATGCCAGAATAGATATTCTATGGCGAAGAATTTATTTTGTGAATAAATTCACTATTGGACTTGTTGCCAGCAAAACCACACAAAATTGGCTGAAATCCGACTTTGCTACACACAATCTGAGCAAACCTCCAAGCTGACTGTTTAATTTGCAGAGTTCAAAACAGAGTATGACAGAAAACAAACTAACAAAAACTAGATGGATGTGTAATGTTTGCTAATGACACAACTTTGCTTAATGCTAGCCCCAGCTAGCAGAGAAATGAAGATAAAGATAAATGTATACCTAGCAGGTTAGCGATATCAATCACCAGCACTTCACAATTACTTTATAACTACCATGTCAGCTACTGACAAGCTAGCTGCATAGAGTGCAACAGAGCAATTAACAAAGAGGGTGGCATCTAATGAAAAAAAAAACCATGACTTGAAGCTACAAATAATGCAAGCTCACATCACATGTGAACCATACCCATTTCGTGCTAATCCAGTGCATCTGATTTAAAAAACTTCAGGTGGAAGGATCACACTGATTGTAAGTATCCTGAGTTATTATTATTTTCAAAATAACCATCCATGTGATCCTCAAACCCTCATATATCTAATACATCCTAATGTCAGCTGATGGCACACAAGAAAAGTTTGCATGATAGCACCTGGATATGGGTTTGGAGAGACATGCCCGCTTAATTGGCTCATGCCGTGCATTTTCTGATAAGAGCCAGTACCTGAACATACAAGGCATCGGAATTGTTAAAACGCTGCCTCCTCTGCAGTGAACCTCTAGACCCTTTTTCACAACTGTCATCTGGATCTTCATCGAATTCTTCTCTTCTGTGTAGCAATCGCTCCCAATGTAGAGGGGTTTTTCTAATATTAAGAAGAGATAATAAATATTTGGCTATACGCTCCTCTCCAACCACCGAATCTTTAACAGCTCCTGTACATAAACAGAAAAGTACAATATTACAATGTGGCAGTACAAGTATGTGAAAAATCCAAATATCAGAGGAGAGTAGAACTAGTAAACAAACCATGATAATCATTACGAGGAAGGCATGCCAATAATCTTGCTCTTCAGATAATTGTTGGCACAGAGAAAAGGACAGTACAGAATAAGAATCTAACCTGTCAGAGCAAGCTTTAGACCTGTTTCCATGTCTGGAATGCTTGGCACTAGAACACCTGGTGTATCAAGCACGTAGATGCTCGGCTGGCTTGCAATCTATCAAAAAAACATTGCATTGTTTAATGAACTCAGTTAATCATAACAGAAGAGACCAAACAACAGGGCACTGTCCTAGAAATGGCTCGTACTTCTACAAATGCACTCACTTGAATAAAGGGTCACTGGCACAGCAGTTCCATGTGTGGACAGTTGAAAATTTACTGAGCTGATTGTTTTCGTGAAAGAGAATGGAGTCGGGGTTAAATGAAATAATTACCAGCCGAGCGCGATGACAGGGGCACATATGGCATATGGGCCAAGGACACACTTTGCCAAATGTTAGGCAGACAAGTTAGGCAAGTGTTTGGTCGCAGCCACAACACACTTTCTTAGCCTCTTACCCCACTTTTCATAGTCATTTGCTAGCCAACTTCTGCCACAAGTGTGCAACCAATTTTGCTGCCTTGCCCACACTTGTAGCACAAAGGTGGGGTACAGCATGGAAGTCAACTAAACATGCCCTAAATGAATTGTACCAGGTTGTGGGTTGCATGCCCAAGTTGCCCGTCGTATGGATATGTTTAAAATGTACGCAGAACGAAGAGAATTGAGATCACAGAAGTAAAAAAAGGCAATTCCTGGCATCTATTTTCTCATGTGTCTTTGTTTTTATGCTGTCCCCAAATCTTAGCTAAGATTGTGCATATGTGCCGTGACTAAGATCTTCTATTTTGTGAGCTTCAAGGCACATAGGTAACTAATTTAGTTGCCAGATAGAGCTGCAAAGCAAGACTTGCCAGTATATATAAACTAACTATAATTAAAAAGTTGAAGTTAAAACATAGTTTGTATCTTCCTCGTAGGAATAAGAGGGAAAAAGATTCCAAGCTCCCAGCAGCTAGTCCATATCCATGGATGTGTGCCTATTTGCATTGAATACTACATCTAGTATTGAATATGCGTGAATAACATGAAGTAACAAACAAAAAGGTACTCAAATATGACTCAACTGGGCAGTCATTCATGTGCATAATATAACTGACAAAGCAGTCAGGTTAACATGTGATGTCTGTTGTTTTTCCTAGTATCTAGTGCAGTGATAATGAGCTTCTGGAAAAAATAAATTAACAAATTCAGTCATGCCATTAACCTTAGAGCCTCACCTTATATCCTGCAATGTCTTGTGTAACTCCAGGGAGAGGTCCAACTCTAGCCCGCTTCATCTTATCGTTCACTGGGAATAGAGCAACAACAAACATGGATAACCAAGGAAATAAACAATATCCCTCTTTATTCTAAAACTGACTATTAATGCAGCACCCACATTAAGCCACATCACCCTAAAAAGACCAGTCATTGGATTATATTGAGGGTCAATCAAGTCAGTTAAATCTAAACAGTTAAGACCTACAAATAGCCTTGTCTTTTGGTCAAATAACACATCCCTTGATGAAATGGTATCTCTTTGTTAAAAGACATGTCCCTCGGTGAAAAGGTGTTTCTTCATGGAAAGACACGTCAGTTGGTGAAAAGACGTCTCTTCGTGCAAAGACACGTCCCTTTGTGAAATGATCTTTCTTCGCAGAAAAACATATTAGAAAAAGATTGAAAAGAAACATAATATTTTTTAGATTACCACGTTAGAAAAATTCACTTTGTAACTTCCCAAAAGATGCCACCATTGAAACTGTCTTAACTGTGCCAGAAAACTAATGTACCAAAATTTAGCATTTCAATTTGGTTATGCACTTCAACAACATTTGAACTTTGCAACTCTATGCTTAATAATACAAATTTTATATATAAATATTTCAGAATAAACTAACTAAAACAATCTAATAATACCTGCAGCAAAGTGTGGGCTTTACACTAGTTTCTGTTATATTGGTCATACCTGGAAATCTAGAATTGGCAATTCTATGAATGGAATTAATGAGTGCAGACTTTCCAACATTGGGGACACCAACTACCATAACAAGAAGTGTGGGCTCTTTCAAGATTGCTTCCCTTAGTTTCAACTCCACAAGCCCAAGCAGCTGTCAGTTACAGAAGAAAACATTAGATGTCTTAAACACTTAAAACCTACACTTAGGACTAAATGAAGCAAATCATCATCTAGGCCAGCGCAGTTAAAAACTTGAAATACTTACAGAGCCAAACTGAGGTTGAGTCAAATGAAACGAAAAAGATACCAAAATCCAGTTAATAACATACAAGAAACAGTTCCATAAGTCTGAATTCTAGTACAAACCTACTTCAATTGATATTCCTATTGATCCGGGAGTTACTATGAAGGTTCAGTCATCATGTGTCCTATTAAGTTTTAAGCCAGCTCATGTCCTAGTAGGTTAAGTTTAGAATTGTAGTAGAATCCCTGGTAGTGGAAGGCTCTGGTTATGAATGACCTTTACCAGCGCAGAATACAGAATTTCAGCAAGTGGTCTAGGCGTCTAGCGGCCAGTTACCCCTACAATTACTAATTAGGTAAATGAACCCCGCTCTCAAAGTTGCAAATAGTTTCAGAGCTTTAACATCTGATTGATGCTTTCAGTGTAATACAGAAGATATCATGTGAGGTTTACACAAAGAAAAATGGATAAACATGACAGTAACAGTTAGCTAACCTGATTAATAGAGTTGCTGCTATGTGCATTTAATGAGATGCAATCTTGCTTACATGACTGAAAATGGTCAAGCCACATCTGCATATTGGGGTAAACAAGATCTTGTGAGTATCAGCATCAGCACCAAATCTCATTGCGCATGCTAACAGGATTAAATCTCATGAATGTTTCAACAAGAGATAGTGCTTCCAGCCTGAGGAGGCTGGCCAAACTAGATAGGTGCTTACATTCATTATATTGGGATTCGCTAGATCTTTCTTGTTTAGAGCAAGGATACGCCTCTTAGCTGCAAGCACCGGCTGAAGGTCTTCGTTCGCTGAGGATAACGGAATCTGATCATAAGTTACATCAGTTGCAAGAAAGTAATCCACAGAGGAACAGAATCACAAGAGGCAAACAAACACTCATCAAATAGGCAGTTAGAATGATGACAATGCATGAAGCACATTTTGTCAACTTTGTAGATGCTGCTACATTTTCTTTGGTGGGCATCTTGATCTTGTGAGACCTTATGTTCGGTTTCAAAATGTGTTTAGTTGCACGCAAGAAGGACATAATAAAAGATGGCGCTGTAGGAAAGCCATTTCATCGAACACCCTACGTGCACCAGGAACCTGCCTCCCTTGTGACCAACGCGAGGCATTTCCGAAACAGGATAGTCGTGAGTAACGGGAGGCGAGCGGGTTGGGGGTGGGGGCTTACGCGGGCGTCGCGGACCTCGATGACGAGGTCGGCGAGCTTGAGGCGGTCGCGGATGGCGCGTGAGGCGGCAGCCATGTGGCCGGGGAACCAGTTGATGGCTCCGCCGCCGGCGTTGAAGGCCATCTCACTGGCGCGCTTTCCGGCCCGCGTCAGGCCCCGCATCCTGGCGGTGGCGGCTCAACCCCACGTCGGCGTCGGCGTCGGCGTCGGCGGCGCTGCCCCGGGGGACGCCGTATCTCTCGCTACAAAAGGCTTTACAAGCTGGGACTGCCTTTTTTTCCAGGGAAATTTAGGCAAAAAACCGCCAGTGCAATGCTGGTTTTGTTTCGCCCGGTTTCGGCCCAAGCAAGCCCACTACATCTTGCGCAGCGCAGGGAAAAAACGTCAGACACCTCAAGTCCTGTTGCGAGATGCTGAACCGATAGACGAGGTCGTCACATATGCCTTCGTAGTCAACGTTAACGTCTTCTTCCATTAAACACACATCGTCGCAAGGCTTGAAATAAATTCAGAAAAATGCTGCCATCAACGCTAAATCTGGGACTTGAACCCTTGTGGGTTGGTTCCACCACAAGGACCCGAGTTGTATTGTATAACAAAAAAGTAGGGTCTAGTAGAACGCCCGTAATTTTTTCCATCAACTTGATTAATTAATTTTCAGATATAACACTTCCCTATCGGAACAAGTTGCTGAAAGGGCTTGCCTGTTTGTCCATTAAATATTCTGGTTTTTTGCCCAATATTCGGGCTCAAATACCCATGGATGTTTCATTTCTTTACTGACTATATAATTCTGAAAAATATAAACTTTCTTGAAGCCTCTTTCTCCAAACGGAGCTATTCCATAATGCCCGCACGTATGGGTCAGCCCACTGGTGTGTTTTTCTCCTTCGGTCGATGTGTTCGCTCACTCACTTTGCTTTTTTATCTTCTTCTATTGTACACTAGCTGAATGGTCTGGTTTTTCTTCATTTTCTCTTTCTGTTATCCTTTACGATTTTATCGGTTTTCTTCAGTTTTCATTGAATTTTTCTTTTCTTTTCTTTTTCTATGTGTTTTTTTCTTACATCTCTCATCGGCTTTCTTTGGTTTTCATTTGTTTATTTTTGTTTCCCCCCTTTTCTGTGTTTTTCTTTACGTTTATCATCGGGATTTTTCATTTGCATAAGGCTTTCTCCAACTTTTTCATCTGTGTGTCTTCTTTATAGTTTTCATTGTTTTCCTTTTTGGTTTTCAATCTTCATTGTTTATTTTTGTTTTTTGTTTTCTTTCCTTCTTCAATACATGTCTACTTTTTTATATACATCATATATTTTTTGTATACAATAGATTTTTTGTTTATTCATGTTTAAAATATGGGAAATACATAATTAACATTTATATATATATATATATATATATATTGATTTATACATTTTTTGTTGTAGATTTTCCATATACATCAGAAACATTTTTTTATAAATATTTAATATTTTATGAATACAAGATAATATTTTTTTCCAAATATATGTCTTGATGTCTACCTTTTTCCATGCACGTTGTAGATTTTTTGTATACATCAATAATATTTTTATAAACATCTAATATTTAATTAAGTTATAAAAAATAGATATATGTTTTCATATGTATTTTTCATACACCTTGTACATTTCATATACATCAGGAATATTTTTCTATATATGTTTAACATTTTATGATTACATGGTTAACATGTTTTTGTAATGTCACATACAATTTTTTGAAAACGTTAAAAAAATTTGGTCACGATTTTTTTGAATCCTATCAACATTTTTTAAAACATTACGCTAACAATATTTTACACCGTGTTAATATTTTTAGTTTTCAAAAAAAAAAATTTATAATTCACGGTTTTTGAAAATTTTTTCATCAAAATTAAGTTTCCGAAATATTTGTATTTAGATTCTTTTTCAACATATATATAAAGAAAACAAAAGACAAAAACAGAATGAATATGAAAAAAGAGAAAAGCTACTTGGGCCGGCCCATTAGACATGAGCGTACGCTTGGTCTCGCACTAAGCAACATATAGCCACGCCAAGAAAAACTAAGAGCACCTCCAGCAGGCCCCTAAACATTACATGGCCTCTAAACCGTTTTTAGTAATACTGGGTGTCGGTGTCAAAACCGGTGGATCTCGGGTAGGGGGTCCCAAGCAGTGCGTCTTAGGATCAATGGTAACAGGAGGCAAGGGACACAATGTTTACCCAGGTTCGGGCCCTCTCGATGGAGGTAAAATCCTACTCCTGCTTGATTAATATTGATGATATGGGTAGTACAAGAGTTGATCTACCACGAGATCAGAGAAGCTAAACCCTAGAAGCTAGCCTATGGTATGATTGTTGTATATCTATCGACTAGCCTGGCCCCGGTTTATATAATGCACCAGAGGCCTAGGATAACAAGAGTCCTAGCCGAATACGCCAGTGGGGGAGGAGTCCTTGTCTTGATCGCCAAGTCTTGTGGATTCTTCCTTGTATGCGGCAGCCGTCCGGATTGGCCCATGAGTATAAGGCCATGGGGGTCCTCGGCCCAATCTAACAGATCGGGAGATGACGCGTTGAGTACCCCCTAGTCCAGGACACCGTCAGTAGCCCCCTGAACCGGTCTTCAAGTTAGGGTCGCTCCTCGATTCTTTCGAACTATTCTTCATCTTCGGTTGCCGGTCTTGAAAACTGGTTCAACAAATCTTCTCATCTTTGATCTTGAGGATCGCCGGAATGCATTCGACGAGTTTACACGTCGGGTATCCGAGGAGCCCCTTTAAGTTTCCGGCTTTTATCAATGCCCTGTTATTCTTATGCCACACCTCGGGTTCGAAGTTGTTCCCGAGAGGCAGTGTCCTCTTGCGTCCGAGCTCTAACGTCGGACTACATTCAAGGTATCTCTTGCAGCCGAGCACCAATGCCGGTCTGCTTTCGAGCTCCAACGCTGAAATGTATCCGAACTCCAACGCCGGAATGTGTCCGAACTCCAACGCCGGACTGTGTCCAAGCTCCAACGCCGGACCATATCCAAGATGTCATAGATCATCTTGGTCCAAAAAAGTTGAAGGAGTTTAGCCGAGCTTAATGCCGGAAATGCCCTCTAAGGAGCCAGCCACTTGCTTCCGACACATATCCAAGAATGTTTTATTCATGTAAACAGAATAACAATTACTCTCTGTCTTAAATGAATAATCGTATTGCAATAAAAATGATCTAATCATATTTATGCTCAACGCAAACACCAAATAACATTTATTTAGGTTCAACACTAATCCCGAAAGTATAAGGAGTGTGCGATGATGATCATATCAATCTTGGAACCACTTCCAACATACATCGTCACTTCATTCTTAACTAGTCTCTATTTATTCTGTAACTCCTGTTTTGAGTTACTAATCTTAGCAACCGAACAAGTATCGAATACCCAGGGGCTACTATGAAAACTAGCAAGGTACACATCAATAACCTGTATATCAAATATACCTTTGTTCACTTTGCCATCCCTCTCTTCCACCAAATATTTGGGATAGTTCCGCTTCTAGTGACCATTTCCTTTGTAGTAGAAGCACTCAGTTTCAGGCTTAGGTCTAGCTTTGGGCTTCTTCACGGGAGTTAAAACTTGCTTGCCATTCTATTTGAAGTTCCCTTTCTTCCCTTTGCCATTTTCTTGAAACTAGTGGTCTTATTTAATCATCAACACTTGGTGCTCTTTATTGATTTCTACCTTCATCGATTTCAGCATCACGAAGAGCTCGGGAATCGCTTTTCGTCATCCCTTGCATACTATAGTTCATCACGAAGTTCCAGTAACTTGGTGATGGTGACTAGAGAACTTTGTCAATCACTATTTTATCTGGAGGATTAACTCCCACTTGATTCAAGTGATTGTAGTACCCAGACATTCTGAGTACATGCTCATTAGTTGAGCAATTATCCTCCATCTTTTCGGCAAAGTACTTGTCAGAGGTCTCATACCTCTTCACACGGGCATGAGTCTGAAATACCAATTTCAGCTCTTGGAACATCTCATATGCTCCGTGACGTTTCAAAAACGTTTTTGAAGTCCCTGTTCTAAGCCGTAAAGCATGGTGTACTAAACTATCAAGTAGTCATCATATTGAGCTAGCCAAATGTTCATAACATCTGCATCTGCTCCTGCAATAGGTCTGTCACCTAGTGGTGCATCAAGGACATAATTCTTCTGTGCATCAATGAGGATAAACCTCAGATTACGGACCACGTCTGCATCATTGCTACTATCATCTTTCAACTTAGTTTTCTCTAGGAACATACAAAAACATAGGGAAACTATAACGTGAGCTATTGATCTACAACATAATTTGCAAAATACTATCAGGACTAAGTTCATGATAAATTAAAGTTCAATTAATCATATTACTTAAGAACTCCCACTTAGATAGACATCCCTCTAGTCATCTAAATGATCACACGATCCAAATCAACTAAACCATGTCCGATCATCACGTATATGGAGTAGCTTTCAATGGTGAACATCACTATGTTGATCATATCTACTATATGATTCACACACGACCTTTTGGTCTCCAGTGTTCGGAGGCCATATCTGCATATGCTAGGCTCGTCAAGTTTAACCTGAGTATTCTGCATGTGCAAAACTGGCTTGCACCCGTTGTATGTGAACATAGAGCTTATCACACCCGATCATCACGTGGTGTCTCAGCATGAAGAACTGTCGCAACGGTGAATACTCAGGGAGAACACTTATACATTGAAATTTAGTGAGGGATCATCTTATAATGCTACTGCCGTCACTACAAGAAATATGTCAACTAGTGAACTTTTGTCAGTGACCCTGGAAGAATTGGTCATAGATCTATGACCATTTGAGACCAATTGGTCAAAAGCTGTTCGGGGGGCTCCAAACCCTAAACCATTGCGACCATTTTGGTGAGAAAGGTCGTAATTTCCTTACACCAAATGGTCACAAAGCAAACAGGGCTGGCCGCTGCCTTATTTCTAGTTGTTAACGACCAAAATAGATGGTCATAGCCTTGTAGATTGTGGTTGGTTGTGATGACTAGGAGCCACCTCATCAGTTTTGCCTATGTGTCATGTCCATGTGGCAGTTTTTGCCCTAGGTTGTGAAGCAACCTATATTTCTGTCATTCCAAAAAT